CGCAGCAGGAACATTTCTACCAGCCATGGAAGAATTTTTAGGTCAGGTATATTTAATAGCTTTGCAGAGAAACACCACTTCGGAGAGCTACAGCTTTTTAGATGAGCTGAAGTAAGGCACGTGGCTTTCTGCTTGTACAGAGCTGTCTTCCTGACTGGCAGGCAGCTGAAAATAGGATTAATTTGAGCATAATGAACTATTTGTACACACTTCATAGCTTCAGTGTTAAAATCATACAGCCATTTAGCTGGTGAGATTATATATTTTCTCTTGACTGGACTATCGGGAACATCCAGTTACTGGAAAGGACTAGATTTTCAGATCCTTACAGCTTTTACAGTGGAGATGTGGATCCTTGTATAACAATCTGAAGCTTTCAGGCACTATCAGGTTTGATTTGCTTGGTTATTTTTATGCACTGCTTCACAAGTTGCCTGAGGCCTTCATGGCGCCACATGCTGTAGGTTAAAAAGTGCTATGTGGAGCTCTGTAATGCCAGGACAGGTGAGAGTGCTTAGCTTGTCATTGAGACATCAAACCCCGTCCTTTGTTTGAATCAACTTACTGCAAGAAGAAATTAATTCCCTACATTATATCAGGATTCTGTGTTGCTCCCATTCACGCCTGCAAACCCAAGCTCTGGCATCCCTTATCCTAGTGCAGACACAGCCATCTTTGTCCTGGTAACTCCTATGACTGCACAGTGTCAGTGTGCCTTACTGTACCTTTAGGAGGAGGTACCAGGTTCTCAATTCGCACATAAAACCAAAGAGCTGATTTCCTTTTCTTTTCTCTCTCTAGATGTCACAATGGCAAAATCAGCAAAACTTATTCAACAGCAGCTGGAGAAAGAGCTGTAAGTATGAAATTGGATCTTAAACCCTGTGAGCTTCTCTCTTCTTTCTGTTTCTTACCTTGATGCTCAGTGAGCTCACTTTTAAGCCACATCTGAGTTCATTGAAGAAAATGAGCAGTCTGTTTTGTCTGTTTAGATGTAACCAGGATGAGAGAAGATTGCTCCTTGTTAACTCATGCAAAAAAGCCCTAGGCACAGAAAGCATATGGCCTCCTAGAAGCTGTGGGTTGGGGAAACATCCCAATCCTTCCCTAAAAGCTGCCATACCTAGTTCAGCAATATCTCCCATGGCTCAGGGCACTGTCCTCTCTCAGGTACAGTCAGGGTTGGCTTCCAAACATAAGACTTTCTATGGGTGGTGTGAAGATCTCAGAAGCTCTGCTCAGTTGTACTGGCATGGGTTGGGTTTTCTTTGCAGGGCTGCTATGACTCAAAAGGGCTTGGTATGCAGAGCGGAGAGCTGGGGAGAAAGCCTCTAGTTTTCCTGTTCTAGCAGGCATTGCAGGAGTCTGTTTGGGACCCTGTGTTGCTTCTGGATCCCCCCCTAGGAAGGACATTAACCTGTGGAAAAAAAAAGATATATGATCTGTTGCTAATTTCAAGTAGTAAGAGGAAGTGGAACAGGAGAAAGTGGCGTATAGAATGTGTTATATTGTAAGCTGCCAGATGAATGAGCTGGCAAGTCCATCTCGGGAATGGGGCAAGTGGAAGCTATAGTTCTTAAAGCTATATTTAATCTGTGTGTAACGATTTCTGCCTGTGAGTCCCATAATTGTAGTTGAGTCAAATCTGCTCTGGGAGAGACCTGTTCAGATCTTGTTTTGTGATGCTTTTCACCAGCATCTAGTAGCGATTTTTTACACACACTCAGAAGTGGATATTTTGCCTTCCTGTTGCCTGTGGGTCCTGTTTGCTAGTTTACAGTTAGCCCAGGGTGGTCTTGGGGGCAAGAGGAGGAGTGTAGCTATTTGGTCTCCAAATTAATGCATGTTCATGGGATATGGCTGTCTTGTTGCTACGTGGTAGATGTGGCAGTGTGTCATGGTTTAGTGTCATGTTTACACTTGGACTTAATGATCTTAAGGGTTTTTTACAACCTAAACAATTCTTTGATTCTGTAATGTCTTTGTCCAGTAGACATTACATGACAGTAGATGTAAGCAGCAGCATTATTTTTGCTGATGCCTCTTCCAGGCTGAATAACTGACCTTCCCATTCTTAAGGGAGGAACGAGTTGCCACATACATATTCAAGCTCTCCAGGAAAATAAGAATTCGTTGGTTCTGATGTTGAGCATTTGCTAGTTACCTGTGCACAGAAGCTGGATTTCTAGGTAGGTTATATGTGCCCTGTTAGACAGTGTTATTCCTGCAACCTGATAGACTGCTGCCGTTTTCCTCCCTGTGCTGCCATACTTGGATGTCCTTGTGTGGAGAACCCAAGGAATTGTCTGCTGTCTTCATCCAGAACTCGCACCTCTGGGCAGTGTTGCTCTTTCACTGTGTCCCATTAGTTTACTCCATTCTGTGAATAAGGAATAACTGGAGTTGACTGAGAGCAGGCACTGCCAGACTGCTCTGTGTCTGAAAGAGATGCAGCACTTAATCCAGGAGGCTCTGCTAGGCAGTCAGAGACCTGAGGAGAGATTGCTGTTTCCATCTGTGCCCGGTGCAGCCCCTTGGCCACCCAAGCCTCACTTTTTCAGGCCTGGTGAGTGTGAACAAGGAGGTCCATCGTTCCTCACCACATGTGGCAGGGAGTTAAAGTGCTGCAGCAAGCTGAAGGGCAGAAGCAGTAATGACATTACAGCCTGGTCCTTAGGCGAACATTGCTCACAGGAGCAGCGGGAGACTCAATCCCCAAAGGTATGTGGCACACTCAAGTGGTAGAGGGGCGAGCCCCTGCCTCATCCCTCTGCATGATTACAGGTGCCTCTCCCTTCCCAGTTAACCTGTTAAACTTGTGTAGATCCTGAGCACTGTAGGCTAAGTCATGTGATTCTTGGTGGCTGGTTTCTGCCACGGGGTTATTGGAGAAATTGAGATGAGGACATCAGCGCCTGGCTCTTTCTGTGGTTTATTACAAAACCAAACCTGTTTAAGCACCTTCTCCTTGAGTGGCCTCCTGTCTTGCTCTCTTGAGCCTCTCTGCAGCTGTGCCTTCTAGCAGGTATTTAGAAGTAGTGGCCAAAGTGCCTGTCCCTACCTGTGCCTCGCAGGGCAAAGCCGTGGGATCTCTACCCTTGGTGTATCTGGTATCCTGCTAACTGAGTGAGGTCCAAAACATCTCAGCAGCCATGGTGTAGGTAATGTTCCCCTGGTTCACAGTTCTTGACACTCTCCCTTTTCTGTCTGCAGCAACACCTTACGAGTGACCTGCTCCGCAGCCCCCACAAGTCTGGATGGCTCAGCCACTGGGGGAACTGCCCAGCTGGGGAAGAAAGGCAAGGACTTCGACTTCTCCCAGCTACCCATGAAGGTGGAATTTGTGGAGTGCAGTGCTCGGGGCAGCAAGGGAGAGGAGGGAGATGCTGACTTCGAGGGTCTCGAGAGATGGCTGGCCAAGATCGCCTGAACGGAGAAGAGCAAGGCTGGAGGGAGAGACTTGGAGAGGCAGAACAATTTGGCATTGGATGAAAAAGAGGGTCTGAAGCACTCAAATCTCTTCTTGCTGTAGAAAGAAGAAAGGCTGGAAATCAGCATTGTGGTATTTTCCTCTGCTGCTCATGGGCTTGTGAGCAACATGACACAATTGCTGGTGTGATTTCCTCTCTCTATTCATGCTGCAACATTTTTTTTTCTCTCCCCTCTTCCTTTGTCTTGCTCTGGGATGCTGACTGTCTGGGCTTCTGTTTTGTCCTTGATCTTTAGGCTTTCATTTGGTAGTTGCCAAGCAAATTAGGAGGGAGTGCATTGCCAGGTGAGTTTTACAGATTGGAGCTGGCGTACTGCCTTCTGCATTGCAACCCTACTGCCTCTCAGAGCTGCTGATCACCTGCTGTTTCGGAGTTCCTTCCCCAGCCTATTACTCATTAGGAGCACTGTGCACATCACCTGTGCTGTCCTGGCAAAGTGCACAGACTCTCAGGCAATCACTGAGTATAAAATGGTGTTTTCCTCTGTGTCTCCTACCTTGCTGTTCTTCCAAACTGGTGCAGTTCCATTTCTGTGGGAATGCAGTGGTCTATCGAAGTGAGGCTAGCAGCTCTGCCTTTGTCACTGTGCTCTGCCTGTGTTCAGCTGTGGTCCCTGTATCTTCAGGTGATTTCCACTGCTGGACAGTTCTTGGGAGTTTTTCTTTAATGAGGGCTATATCCTAAAAGCTTCTGCTTCTCCTTCTCGTACTTCAGACATGTATGCACACCCTCCAAGTGGCAGAGTTTATAGTAGGATCTTAGCTTGTAATTATGAGGCAGGCACGTTTTCACATTCATACCCACATTACGTGTGAAATGGGCATGACAGACATTTGCTGTGCAGTCCCCTGCCTGACTGCTGCTCCACTGACTGCAGCAAGGTCTTTTTGTGTGTGTAATTAGTCAGCAATCGTGGCAAAGAGAGGGCAAGCCAAGAAGCTGCTAGCAAGGTAGTGTGATTCTTGGGAGGAAGATGCTCAATAAAGAGGGGAAAGAAATGTTTTTCCCAATTCATTTTTATTTGTCTGTAGTGTTTAAAACCGAAGTGGCTGCTGTGTGTGTGATCTCAAGTGTTAACCTTGTAGGGAAGATTCAGGGATTGCCTGTCACCAGCTGTCTTGGTGGCTCTGGAGGCTGCTTGGAGTATTGGAGGACTCTGATTCAGCATGCTCTGAACTGTCCAAGGGACATTTGCTCTCCTGCTTCCTATGCTCTGGCCAGGAGCACTGGCTATCCAAAGGGAGATCTTCCCACAGCATTGGTGGTGGTCAGGCATGAGACAAGAGCCTGGTGCTGTGCATTTAGCTTCCCCTTCTTGATCAGCCTTAAAACACAGTTGCCTTGCCCAGCAGCTACATAGAGTTTTCTGTGCTGATGGGGTGTAATTTCTGTGCTGCACCTTTGTCAGGAGGATTGCTCTCCACACTGTGAGGTCCTATGGCATTGACATTTCCCCTTTGGTTTTGATGCTTCCCCTTTTGTTCTAGAGCTCTTTTTGTACTTTGCAGGCTCCTCTTCTCTGTTTTGATGCTCCCTTCATCACTCAACTGATCTATTGTGTTCTTTTGCTTTCTGGGGCATTCTCTGCCTCCCTGTAGCATTGCCAAGTGTTATTAGTGTTGGGAAGAGCAAGAACAGTCTTCAGCAGACTTGTGCTTGTAATGAAGCATTTCTAGTCTTGTGAACACAGTGACTCTAACACTATCCTTGCAGGAGGTGGTGAGGGTTATATTTACAAACTATGTTATATTTCCTGCAGCCAGAGTATTGTTGGAACATGTTTGTCATGCTTTGAACTCCTTTAGCTGAACTCCTTTTTAGACTGCCTGCTTTGAATTCATAATGTTGAAGTGACAATATTGCTCTTTCTTTGGGTAGTTAATCTGCTTGCAAAGACCTGCATCCTTGAAAAGCAGAGGCCAAGCACCAGCCTCTGCTGGGGTGAAGTGGGAAGGTAGCATGAGGCCATGATTGGTTTTAAGTTATTAAAAATATTCCTTAAACTCTTCTTTTTTTTTTTCCTTAAATGTTTGATTTCAAGACTTGTTTTAGTCTGTATTTGCCTTCTCAGCAGTGTCAAATCTGCATGGATTGGGGCTTTCCTTCTGCTCAACATTGACGATATTGGAGGTGAACCTCCTGCTTGGTGGCCTGGTCTGTGTTATCAAAAACAATGTCTTCACACACGGGGCTTTAGATTTGTCTTTTTTGGGGGGTGTGTATTTACTCCTTAGTCTGAATGTTAAATAATTGATCTGTGTGGTGTGGTCAACATGCTGGAGGGCAGGGATGGGATCCAGAGGGACCTGGACAGGCTGGAGAGGTGGGACTGTGCAAACCTCATGAAGTTCAACAAGTGCAAGGTCCTACACCTGGTTTGGGACAATCCCAAGCACAAACACAAGCTGGGCAGACACTGGATGGAGCAGCCCTGAGGACCTGGGGGTGTGGGTTGATGAGGTGCTCCCCATGTCCCAGCATGCTTGCAACTAGATGGTATAGGCAGGGTGCAGAGGCTGGGAGCTGGCACAGCCTGCCTGTTCTGTACAGCCCCTCATACATGGTAGAGTTTCATGGAGGAGCACATACCCCATCTGCTATCATTTCTTCACCTTTGCTAGCAAAGAATGCTCTCAGCATCTGCCAGGATGTGACCTGCAGACATCCCCACCAATGGGGACAGCTCTCAGGGCATGGGGGTGTGACCAGCAAAGCATCACAGTTGGAAAAGTGACCTTTATTTAGAAAAAAAAATACAATAAAGAGCAACAAACCCCTCAGTAAACCCCTAGTGATAATTTCACATAACTTCACATGTGCAGTGTCCACGCTGACCTCTGTGAGGGTTGTGGGCAGGGAGGGACACGGGGCAGACTCAGGGTTGGCAGCTGTCTCCCCTGTTCGTGTCCCAGCCAGGAGGGCATTACCTGGCTTGAAAACATCACACCGGAGCGGGGACCGTTGCCCAGCGCAGGCACTTCTCTGGGTATATGGGATGGGGCTGTGCTCCAGTCCTCATCTGCCTCCTGTTCGAAAGTGATGGGCAAGGTGCAGCTGGAGAGCCTGGGAGAAACTGGTCCCAGGATGGGACTGGCATGGAGCATCCCTTGCTTGGAGGAAGGCCCTGTCAAGGGCTGCAAGAGAGGAGCTCAGAGCTGCTAAGGTGAAGTTGCTCTCTTAGGAGGAAAAACAAACCCAAAAGAGACAAAGTACTGGCAGTGGGTAATGGGGAGTGTGGAGTCAGTCCTCGGTTGGGCTACACCAGCCCTGCTGCCTTCTCCTGCACATTGTACTCCTTGCTTCTCTTCACCTTCCAGCTGATGAGGGCAAGGAGGATGGTGCCCACCACCTTGTAGCCTATCTGCAGGCCCAGGTATCTGTTGGAAGAAGAGCAGGGAGATGGTGTGTCTGGAGGTAGCACCTCCAGCCAGCACCAGGCTGAGCTGGGGATCATCCCCATGGCCATCCCCTCTGGGAACACGTGGCAAGGGTACCTGTTGCGGAGGAAGTCGTTGTTGTAATAGGCGCAGAACAGGCGCTGGGTGCACTGCTTCTGCCAGTAGATGCAGGAGGAGTCGATGAGGGCACCAAACATGGCCGGAGCTGGCAGCCAGGCTTTGGAGAAGAGAGGATGGAGTCAGGCTGCCCATGCTGCCCCTGCCTGCATGCTTTGCTTGCTGTCACCAAGGGGGTTCAACACCTCCTGGGCTCAAGCAAGCCTCTGAGCACGCTGCTGCCTTCCCCAGCCTCCTTAGGGTATGGACACTCACCCAGCAGTCTCATTAGTAAGAACTGGACTCCAATGGCAAATGACTTCTCATCCTGGTTCACCACCCTGTAGGGGAGAAGCCATGGGAGGTCAGAGCTGGTGGTGGCTCTGCATTTAGTGAAGCATCTTTGCCTGTTGCATGTTCAAGAGGCCCCACTGATCCCAGCATGGGGAACCCATTCCCCTGTAGCTTGTGACCCTCTCTGCCCATTGCTTACCGTAAAACCATCATGTAGAGGGGGTTGTGGGACAGGCAGGCTACCAGGGCAGCAAAGGAGATGAGGAATATGGCAGGAAGGAGCATGTGGGAGCAGCTGAGCGGACAGGAGCCTGTCTTGGCAGAGGACAGCCCACTCCCTGCAGGGATCAGGGAACAGTTCCTGTAGATCTGTTGGAAACATTTGGAAAAAACAAAACATAAAACTCCCAAAGCCAAGAGCAGGATTTGTAGTGATGCACCAGACCACATCACTTTGCAGAACACTGACGAGAGCGTCAGATCCAGTTTTAAGGCATGGCCATGGCATCCTGCAATGGGATGTGTGTCCATCCCCATTTGTCCAAGCAGAATGCCAGGGCATGACAGCAGTTCTCTATTGTACCTTCTCAGGACTTCAGCTCCTCTGGTAGACCTCCCTGCCTACAAGGCTTTACCCTATTACTGCTTTTGTCAGGTTCCTACAGCATTGCTGCAGCCTTCACTGTCGCCAGTGAGCAAGGTACACTCTGCTTTGCAAAACACTTATTTTACTTACCACTTGTTTGGGAGTGGAGGAATCAGTGGTGCTGTTTGTGCAGCCAGCGAAGCAGGGGGAGATGTACTCCACATTGTTTTCTCCGCATACTGGGTGAAAGATGTGCTCAGAGCAGTGGCACCCTGTCGGTGTCTTAACCTGCTGCTGGGAACTCAATGTACTGCCAAAAAATAGGAGAGAAAAAAAAATAAATCAAAAATAAAGGAACAGGACATAAAGGATGTAAAATCCCACTCACTGGCTGACCAGGTTCCCCATTCCTATTTGCACTGGGACATTGCCAGCAGAAGGCTGGCCTTCTGCCAGGTCCTGATCCCCTGCAGGTACCTCTGCAAGTGTACAGTGAACTTAGCAGCAATTATGTTATGTCTGCAAACAAGTACTCACACACTTCTTATTTCCCTCCTTCCCAGCTGAAAACTAAACAGCCAAATGCCTAGAGAAATAAATCTGGGCTTCATCCAGAACTGCACAAACAGATGTGCAAGTAGCCCCAGCTGGAAACACCATTCAGACAGAAACTGGAAGTGGGCTCATTTCCAGACAAGCCTGACAACAGCACGAAAGTCAAGAGGACAAACTGAATTATCTGTCCTGAATTATCTATCCTGTCTTGCCTTACTAGCTAAGAGAGTTCATCTGCTGGAGCAGCACAGTCTGTCTTCTACAGGAAGCTGGCACCAGAGACCTGCCCTTGGCCATGGAGGGAATGGGGCAGAGCTCATGTTCACCCATCCACGTAGTCCACAACTACCATTGTGGACATCCAAGCAAAAGGCATTTATGCACTGCTGCCATTGCAGGGGGGAAGGTTTCCAAAATAATACAAGGAAACAGCCTCGTTTTCCATGCAATTGCCACAAGCAGCTCCTCATTACACCAAGCAAAGCCCATTAAGACTGGTGTGTCCTGGAAGAGCCAAGACAGGCAGTTGACTTGACACCGGTGGCAAGAGTTGAACACTGTAAGGCTAACATGCTTCCCAAAATTCAGCATCTGCAGCACCTGATCTTTTGCTGAGGGGTGTCCTCACATTTGAAGCCCTACCCTCACACAGAAAGCTTGGGATGCTCCTGAGTTTGTGGTGCATGCTGTGCCTTTGCAGAATGCTTTGCTTTCCTTCACCATGGTTATTTAAGTGGGCTTTAAGTGGGAGAAGCACATGGATTGCCCTGTCCCTCACCCCTCCACCATGCCCCTGGGACAAGAGGCTTATTGCTAGCAAAGGGAAATATCTGTACAAAAACCCCTTGCTGGCAGTGCAGTGGGAAATGAGCATGATGCAGTTAGTGAAGTGGAGCCTAACCCTGGCGTGGAGTCTAAATGTAACTTTTATCTTAAAAAAGACATGTAAGAACCAAAAGTTTCCACCCTGGTGAGGAGAAAGATGATGTCCAGCTGGAACAAAGGCAGTGCACTTTGATGCCACAAAGATGCCAGTGTGGACACAAGCACTAATACTACTAACTTCTCCCTAGAAATCCCGAGTGAAAAATAAACCCTGCTCGTTCAATACAGAAAATCAGGAATAAATTCCTTCCCAGTCTTTCGGTGCTGTAGAGTGCTTTGATCTCCAGGCAGTGGGATCAAGGAGCAAGCAGCAGCATGGTGAGGTCTACTGCTTCTTCTCATCCACATGCATGTATCCCACCCCATGGATAAACAAGTCAAGAGCTGGAGGAACAATGAGCTGGAAACAACCAAATCACTTGCAGTTACCTGGGGGGATAGATCCCATCGATGTGCCCTGTGGAGCAGCCCATGAAGAAAATGGGCAGGCAGATGAGGATGGAGAACACAAGCACCACCACAGCAAACCGGGGGATGGCCCGGAGTGAAAAGGCAAAGCGCTTCATGATGATTCCTCCTAAAAGCATCCCGAGTGCTGCTGCTGGCAGGTTCACAGCTCCTGCAGAAGAACGAAGGCATTAGCTGAGGGTCCTGCCTGCCAAGCACCTTTCTGTGGGCAATGGGTGGCAGTAGTGGTTTTGTGGACCTTGTGGTAGTTGGGAGAATCCACAGACCCACCTTTACCCACAACAGATCAAACCCCAAGGCAGCTGGCACCCATGAGAAACCTCAGCCTCAGGAATTTGGCTCAGAGATGCCAGATCAAGCTTGGTGCATAATAACTTGCTCTTGCAACATCAGTACCTAAAGGGGGCTTATAAGAAGCCTGGAGAGGAACTTTTACAGAGGCCTGTATGGACAGGACAAGGGGGAATGGCTTTAAACTGACAGAGGGGAGATTTACATTAGACATTAGAAAAAAATTCTTTACTATGAGGGTGGTGAGGCACTGGCAACCTGGTCTAGTGGAAGGTGTCCCTGCCCGTGGCAGGAGGTTAAACTAGATAATCTTCAAGGTCCCTTCAACCCAAAGAATTCTATGATTTGAGACAAGGAAGTACAAAATGAAAT